GGACAAATGACGATAGAATATTTTATTATTTGTGCCGCCTTTGTTAGCCTATACTCCTAATAAAAATATGACTAACAAAAATAACATTAACAACAACAATACGGATATATTCATAATAAAGATTCACTCACAACATCTTCATTTCATTATGATTTTTTGACACTTTCGTCATTTGTCCTTACAGCTCATGATATAGCTTACTGACATTCATTAAACGAATTTAAATGGCCTATTTATTATTATAACTAGTATTACATTAATAAATCATATTTGAACACTTAATATTTATTTTTTATAAACGCACAAATGTCTATTGATGCAGGTCGAGTAACTGCGTAAAAAACATATTTTGGATTTTTCTTTCACGAGTATCAACATAATTATTTATAATACTACTTAATATTGTAAATAAAAGGCTATATTTAACAAACCGTTGGGCTTTAGGTTTTTTTAAACCACATTCATAAAGCTGCAACAAAACTCCGCTGGCCTAAAATAAGAAACGAATGTATGACATTCTTACATAAACCCAGAGCTTCAATAATTTAGAGGCAGGAAGCCTTTTCGTTTGTTTGTTTCAAAATAAAACCTTTTTTTTTCCTTCCTGTAACAATGACGGCAGCAGCAGTCTGACAGATTTGGGACAGAACTTTTTATTAAACATTATGAAAACAAGATTCTCAACAACGTTCCACTTTGTAGGGTTTTCACTTGTTGACACGTTAGGACACGTTCATTGAATAAATATAGAAATTATATGTACAGATATACATTAACAGCACTGTGCAGAAGTTTGCTTTCCTCTTTATCTCCTTTTTTATGTCTCGCAGTCTTCTTCAAAATCAAATTAGGATTTTTAGGCTGGAATTGCTTTTGTAAAAAAAAAAAATATGACAATAAAATTTGAAATAAAATCAATCACAAATAAATTAAAACAGAGAAAGTTACTAAAGGGACACTGTTACTGCCTTATTATTTTTTAAATAATCAAATGAGTTGCAAGATTCATTTCGATATTTCTTTGTTCTTATGGCTCACACCAATACAAAATATCAATCTCCCATTTATTTTACATTTGCTGTTTTCCCCTGTGGCATTTCGATCTAAATGTAACACCAGCCTCTCCTTTCCTGCAAGTTTCCGCCATCCAACAGGTAGCCTATACAGTCTGAGCATCGGACACTTCTGCACAATATTGCACATATATCTAGGCAGCAGAAAACACACGAACCAGGGATTTGTTGTCGACAGAATAAAGGAGTTACTCCGAGAGCAGTGAGCTCTACCGCCAGGCAAAGTCTCCTCTTTTCAAGCAATCAAGCGTCCTCCTATCAGACACAATACCTTATTAAGACAGCGGGCTGCAGATTAGAAAACCACAGGCCCTAAAAAAAAAAAAATTCTCCTCTACAAATATTCAAAGTAAAAAAAACAACAACAAAACAAACTAAGTATTTGTAATCATCGGGTTGGTGCATAGAGTTTTAGCAGCGAATGCAGTCCTTGTCCGTCTAATAAGTGAAGCTTTCGCCTCGTCAAATTTACATCCAGGTTTTTTTTTTTAGAGAGCAACAGATCAAAGGTCCTATCAGTAGAAAACAAAACGTTTGTCCAGTTTGATCTCTTCTTAGTGCAGTATAGGCTCGCCTTTGACATTACACATGTTCAGTAGGAGGATACCAAAGACGATTTGCATGCTGTAACATACAAACATTTGTATTAAGACATGTCGAATAATCCAAGCAACTTGAAAGCAAGTTTTCTTTAAAAAGAGGGAAAAAAAGGTAAAATAACATAGTTAACTGTTTTTTTTCTCTACACATTATGTACAGGTGGAAATAAATACAGTCTAAAATCTGGCTCAGGTAATCTCTTTTTGTCGTTTTTCTTTTCTTTTTAAAACAATAGAAAAATTGATTGAAAATAGCAGTTAAAGACGCATCCATTTTTTTTTCGCAAGTAGCAGATTGTTTTTTGCATGTTTGTCCGCAGTCCTTGCACCTCTCGGGGGTTTGTGTGTGTGTGTGAGGAGGGGGGCAGTTTGTGGTTCTTGCATACCCAGGCCTTATTGGTGGCAGAGGGGGAGGAGGAGAGAACCGTGGGCCATGCTTTCCATACATTGTGGAAGGATCCTGGGAGATGACTGGAGGTTACCATACATGTCCTGCATGCAGGGTTGCAAATAGGGATGGGGAAACTATAGACTTGCAATATTATTGAAAGGTCTCGTCTCTGCATCGCAGACCGCCTCGCTCTCACACAGTCTGTTGAGCTTTCTGGAGCCCAAAAAAGAGAGGCGGCGTATTGCTTTTTCTGCTTCTATTTCAGTCCAATCTGATTCTTAAAAAACAAACAAAAACAAAAAACACTCTTTCCCCCACTCTTAAGACAAAAGCATCTCTCTCTGTGAATTAAGACAGTCATTAAATGTCAGATTGGTTCAGTAAGACTTCTGACTAAGTTCTGCTGCACCAGAGAAAAGTCTACAGACTAAGTGATCCCATGTGCCCACCTGACAGGTTGTGGTGAGCTTACAGAAGTTTAGCCGAAACATCTTTAAGACTCAAAATGCGCGCAACGATTACTATTGTGCGCATCTATTGTGTGTTTGTTTACTTGTGTGTTTTAAGTCTCTTTCAAGGGAATAACTGTAAACAAAATACAGACGCGGAGAAATATAAATGAACGTAACGAGGACGTTTAGGTGGGGCTGTAATTCAGAGTCTATATGCTACACATCGCCAGTCTCTCACATGAAGAACTCGTTGTTGGCCTGTTTCCCGGACGGATCTCTCGTGTTCGCGGGTCCACCGGCAGAGTAGGTCCGGCTGGCCAGCTTCTCGTATTTCTCCTTGTAAAGATCCCTCTCTTTGGCGAGGCGCACCACGTCCTGCTTCAGCTGCTCCACCTGGCTCTGCAGCGTGCACTTCTCGGTCTCCAGCATGTGCCTCTGCTGGACGCGCTTGAAGCGGCAGGACTGCGCGTAGCCCCGGTTCTTTAGGGTGCGCCTCTTCTGCTTCAGGCGGATCACCTCCTCCTTGCTGAAGCCCCGCAGCTGCCGGTTCAGCTCCCGCACCGTCATGCTGACCAGCTGGTCGTCCGAGAAGCGGTCCTCCAGGCGGGCGTGGTGGCCGTGGTGGTGGTGGTGGTGATGGTGGTGGCCCTGGTGATGGTGGGCCGTCGAGGCCGTGGACAGGTCCTCCCCAACGTACTGCTGCCCGCGGAAGCCATCGTAGGCCTGGTGGTGGTGGTGGTGGTGCGCGTTGCCGATGAGGGCCTCCACCGCGTCCTCCGGGGTCAGGTTGAGCGCCTCCGGGTTGATGTGGTGCTGGTAGCTGGGGATCCAGTACAGGTCCTCCAGCTGGGGCTTGCCCGCGTTGCCGTGATTGTTGTTGCCGCCGCCGCTGCTGTTGTTGCTGCTGCTGCCGCTGCTGTTGACCCCGCTGGTGAGGCTCTGGTTGGGCTGCGCGCCGGGGCTCGGGGCGCAGAAGCTCGGCGAGGAAGGCACGGAGGAGCAGGGTGTGCTGATCGGGGTGGAGGACAGGGAGCCCGACGGGAGGCGGTGGCAGTAGCGGTCGGCCTCCGGCGGCTCCTTCTTCACCTCGAACTTCATAAGGTCAAAGTCGTTGACGTATTCGATGGCCAGGGGGCTGTTTGGCAGCTCTGCGCTCATGGCGAGGTCGGTAGCCATGTCAGTCCATGCGACGACTCCTGCCCTCACAGCCAAACCGACGGCGGGCAGCCCTCTCCTATACAGATTGCGAGGAGGAAGACCAGCCTGTGCGGTGTATATATAGACACGCGCACACGCCCGGTGTACAGAGCTGCTGCAGAGGGCCGGGTGGGTGGGAGGAGAAACTTATTAAGGCTGCTCGTCCCTAAGACAACTTCTATATATAGTGGCGTGAATATACGTACGCATGTAAATAAACTTGTACACCTGCCAGTTTGCCTCTGCTCTTGTTGACAACTTATCCCAGGTCAAATGCACGCTTAAATACCAGGTGCCCCCGGGGCGGCCGAAACTCGAGCCGGGTGAATTTGGAGACACCAACCTGTCTTGTCCTCGCTTCACCTCTGCAGCCCACTTGCCTCCCTGTGATTAACTGTCCTCGGCTGTGCTCGATCAAGTAACAGAAGCGACTTCGTCTCCTCCGCTCGCTGTGTTATAAATATGTTCCGAGCATCCTTCTTCCTCTCCTGCGGTCTACAACTTGATCGCTTAAGTTCCGGGCTGAAGTCACTGCAGCATGGCCCGGTTCGAAAGTTTTCTCACACGATCAGATCAGACAGCGTGTGTGTGTGTGTGTGTGACAGCCACGGGGCGCAGCTTGGGTGTGCGTAAAAGCAGTGCCAAAAAAGTCCCAGGAATCCCCCCCCCCAAAAAATGGAATGACACGTGCATACGTTTTCAAAGTTAATATGCATCTGAGATTGATCAGGAGTTGCAGGCAGTGCTCCTACTTTGAGGGGCAGGAGAGTCTGGTCCCCTGTTGTTGTGGTCAGTCCAGATATTGGATTCAAGCAGCGAATTACTGACAGCTTCTGTCCCCACGGTCCTGTCCCTCCTGACAGGGTCGCGCTGTTGACCTTTCGTGTTGACTGCGTGTAATATTATGCAAGAGGTGATAAATTCCAGTTGGTTTTCTTCACTAACGGCCCTCAAATAGTTTCTATAGGCGCTCCACGGTGCAAACCAGCAGTGTCACTGAGACGCTGCGAGGCAATCTGCTCTTATAAAGACAGCGTGGCCCGCGACCCTCCCACACAGAGGTGTGACGGGCCAATGGGAGGAGACCACTGCGGCGCATTTGCATTCTCTCTACAGGAAAGCCCAACCCGGGATGGGAAGCCCGCACTCTGGCAGCGGGCCGGCCGAGCGGAGCCGAGCGCAGCCGAAGTGAGCTGGAGCGCGCATGGGAGAACAGGTGCAGCAGATCCCCCCCTCTAGCGACCGAGCAGATGCTACTGCACGGCGGAAGCACGGAGTAAGACGAGAGCTCCGGTAGTTTCTCAGAGAAAAATGTTTACTCGGAACAGAGAAACAGTTTTTCACCGTATCAAAACACCGCGTCAGTTAAGTAACAAGGCTGTCAGCACGTGTTTGGGTTTCACGAGGAAGCAAAGGAACTGCAGGTCGCCAATTCATGGTATTGGTCAATCAAGCAATTGAAAAAAGTGAATACATTTTAGACTCCTGGACCTCTTGAAACCCTTTTGATCTTTAAAAAAAAAAATGTTGTAAATTGCTTAATCATCCACTATATCCATACATGTAGGAACCTGTTACTGTGGTCAACATTTAGTCGTAGGCAATATAGTCTCATGCAATATTTAATTTATGTAAGGAAACAAATTCAGTGAGTTACATGAATCCAGGTTGTTGTTGTTTTAGCATTAGCCAAATACATTTCTACATTAGATTAAGGTGAAATTAAATCATGATCAAGTTAATTGGCCCAATGACACATAAAAGGGAATATGACTCTCGTGGGGAAAAACAGTAAATATGAATGGCTACAATTTATATTCATTTTAACAGCTGAAATACGAAAGTCAACTGTTCTGTATTTACAACTAGAAGAGCAAATTAAACGAAGGCCTTGAACTTATAAAGTATTAAATATAGCTCAAGTGTAAAACACATCCTGGCTTATAGCTTTATTAAAAACAGCTTATTGTATCTACTTTACTCATTTATGTCTCAGGAAGGAATGCCTCTGACACCACAAACTACCAGATCTATCAATACCGGTCGATTTAAGGCCGCGCGCCCCTCTGCCAAAAATCAATCCGCATTTCCGCGAGGCTGCGAGGAGGCCGCGCTGTGGCTGCGCGCGGGTTAAGTATGATTGGATAGTCCTGGCGGTGGTCCGCGGGGTTTTCATTCGCAATTAACCACAAATTGCATCCCGTCTCATCTCCGCGGATCGACGGATAATTAAGCCCCGCCGCGTGCGTCTCCATTCTGGACACATACGTCTTTTATCTTGGAGAGAAAAGGGGGGAGGCTTTGTGGGAGGTGCAAATCCGAGCAGGATGTTGATGGTATCAGGGGAGCATGACTTAAACCCGGACACCGCTGCACCTGACCCGTTTAGCCTCCTCAGCAGCAGCCGCCCCCCGGAGTCCCATCTACCCACCGATTTGTGAGTGATATATCTGCGGAATTAAGTGCCTATCTGCGGGGGTGAAAAAATAAAACAGGTGGCCATAAGTTTAAACTTGGTCAGATATGAACAGGAAAACCTTGCGCAGCTGCTGAGCTTAACTTCCAGTCCGAAATGGCCATGAAATACGCTCTCCCCCCACTTCCTCAAATCTGCTGGCGAAGATGAAAAGAAGAGTATGAGATGAAGGGATGGAAATCATATCAAGGTATTTTAAGTTTAGGTGCGCTAAGTCATTAGGAGAGGGTTTTCTTTTTTATCAAATAAGCAGGACCTGGCCCCTAAACGCCAAGCTAAGCATTCTGCTTTGAAATGGCACATTTAAGAAGATCTGCTGTGGTCCATTCATTGTCAGGGGAAGGGGAGCGTCTGCGGCCGAGGGCTTGAGACATAAATTTTTGAAGTCAGGGTTTTCATTGTGCCTTTGCATATTGGTACTTCGCTGCAAGTGCAGTTCTACCGATTTAAGCAAAACGGACATCAGCAAGGTGGAGGATCGACGGTGGGCTTTGAGCCGGCGGCGAGGCGAGCTTTGAGCGAAAGGTTGCCAGCCTCCAGGACCAAAGAGACCGGCTGCAGGAGGTGGCTCGGGGTTATCTGAGGCCCGGAGGTTGTTGTTTTTTTTGTCGCTGCCGTTAAGTCACTAATGCCGCTGTAGAGGAATCAGCTTTAATTGTGCAGGGATGTGACACGCACGCGTGTGCACGGACAGTGAAGTTAACAGGGAGGCTTACTTTAGAAATCAGGAGCTCCACCACATGTAGGAGGCCTCACTTGGATAGAAAGCGCGTTTGTTCACCCGGGCGATGAAAAGGTTTTTCGGTCTCAAAGGAAAAAATGTGACAACACAGAATTTGGATGGAAAAGAGGGAAATTAGAATCTAATACGCAACTGGTTCGACCGCCGTTTGTTTTGGTGACGCCGCTGTACTCACCAAAGGTCTGGGAACAGGGTGACATCCACAAAGTCTGGGGACAGGCCCGAAGACTATACGTGAGACCTTACAAAGACTGGACGAAGCAAACATGGTCATGTTTCCACCATCGAATACAGAACACAGGAAAAATTTACACACACACCGAAACAATCGAGCAAATACAGATACAACACACTGGGAAACTCGTAGGCGTTGGGTCGCTGAAGCTGGGAGAAGACACGCAAGAGGTCATTCATAAAATAAAAAGGATTCTCTTCAGGTGAACTGCTGCTCTAAAACTTAAAGAGTGGTCAGTGCAGGTTTTACACATGTCAAATGTCTCAATTCTAAAATGTTGAACATGCTTCAGATAATCATTTCACAGAACTCCTAAACAACATGCTGGAGATGAAGAGATCACATGGAAGGGAAACAGCAACACCAATAAAACCCTTCCACACTGTGTGACTTCATCTCCCAACAGACGGCCGGTGTTGACTGTTCACCTTGTTCAACTCTTCATGCCATCAATCACAAGGTGTGTCGCCATCCGAAAAACGGAGTCAGACAGGCTGAGGGGGACTTTAGTGCACACAGCTTTTGAATGATGGGATGTTTGCATGTTTTTCTGTGATATTGGATGTGTTGTTAGGTTATCTATCCATCTATCATCCATCCGAGTACAATGTTGTTATAATCAATAGGAACGACGGCCAATGTGCTGAAAATAAATGCGCTGAAAGTTGTAATAAAATGGAATTATACTTCAAAGGAAGCAAAGCTGAAAAGGTGACGGCTCATAGAAAGAGAAGACAACTTGTAATATGTGTACCACACACACACACACACACACACACACACACACACACACACACAGAAACAAACCCGTTTATATCAAGTCTCTCCAACACAGACACACACACGAAGAATCACAGTTGACCTTTCTTTTTGTCTCTCCGAGTACGTGGACAGATGATTTCTCTCCCTCCGTCTTCTCTCCGTCTTGTGCGCTTTTACTAAAAATTGAAATATTGATCTTAATTAGAGTTTGCCGAGCTCAGCAGCTTGCGTTGAGGGTTTTAGACAAGAGGCAGCAGACATCTGTCTAAGGCACTTACGTCTTCCGCGCAGGAGAGGAGCAACGTGGGTGAGGAGGAGAAGGAAGGGGGGAAAAAGCTCGTGGTGAGAAGAGAAGAGTGATGGCTCCCTGTCTCCTGCCTTTTCTGAGAAACATGTCGAGCTCTCCACCTCCGCTCGCTGCTGTCAATACATGGGTGAAAATAGAGTTGAACAGTCATGCACGCACACACACTCACAATTTAAATATTCACCCCGACTAAATGGTAGTATGTGACAATCTGTACATGAACTTAAGTTTTCCAAGTTGCTGCACAATCATCAAGCAAGTGATCTCTCTCTCTCACTCTTGTGTTTGAGGCCTGGTCCACAAAAATAAATTTGGGAAATGCATACACATGCATTTTTAATCTTCAAAATCGGACAGTGAGATTGGAGTCTTCCAAAAGCATTGTGATACAGGGGGAAAAGTGGGTGTGAGAATGTCAACAGTAACATCTTATGTCAGCTGATGATGCAAGACAGGCGTCGTCACACACTTAAGACCTCACGGTGTCTTTAAAAGAACAGTTCAGCATTCTTGGGAAAGGTACACCCGATTGCTTTCTTTCCGAGAATAAGACGCGAGGACTGACGTCAATCTTACATCTGTGCATTTAATACGGAGCTGGAGTCAGGACATGAACAACCTAGCTTAGCATAACAGCTGGAGGCAAATGGAAACAGCTAGCACAAACAGCGAGCCGGGCTTTGTCAACAGTGAGAACATAATACACCTTACCAACACCTCAGAAGCTTGCTAATTGACCGTAGAAATGACAATTTGTGGTTTTAGCCGGAGTTGTGTGGTGGAACCATTTCTTGACAAAACGTCAGCTGTGTGCAACTCCCTTAAGTCATAGAGATGTCGCCTCTGGTTTTCGTAGCATCGTGCCCGAGCGGAGACCGAAACCTCACCGACTGTATCCGGCAACCCGCTGGTGGTCATCAAGAAATAGTTTCCGCATGTATGTTCCCCTACAACCACAAATTGTTATTTTTTTCCCAAACACTATGGAAAGGTTTCTTGTTGTCGACCAAAGGAGAAGCAAGAAAGAGAAGTAAACATTTTCTTTAAGCATTTCACCTCGAATGGTAAAATGAAAAGTGACCCTTTAACACGGCTGGACCCCAGACTGAGACGTGAACTGTGTTCTCACATTTCTATGCATCATCGGTATGGATTAACAGACGTGTGTTGTGTCCTCCTCGCTGTGTATTAACTGAGTGCGTGTGTCACGCTGCTTGTTTGTCGCCGTGACAACACCTCAGTTAAATAGCGTGGTAATGCTGTAAATATGAGGCTCCACTCGCTCACTTACACACACAAACAGCGTATTAATAGTTCTATTAGCAGAGGCCTGAGAGTTACTTATCCCAGCATCCTCTCTGTTACACTGAGAGCCATTCATTTCACGTACAAACGGAGATGAAGAGAAATAAATAAAGGCGGAGGAAGGATCGAGGTAAGTGTGAGGAATGAAGCCAAGTTGATATGATGTGAATGAATGTTGTACATGTCAAAGGGGATCCAGACTTCATCTTTGTTTTTTAACTATGGGATCAGAGCGAATCAGCTCAAATCTTTTTAATGTGCATGAAAAAAATAATAATCACAATGTAGACTAAGTTGCACGCGACCATTGGGCCAAAAGTTCCATTCATAAGCACAACAATCTAAGAAACCATGTCTGTCCGTCTGCCGCAGTACTTTGGACATCACTGAATCAACAACAGCGATAGTCACATGAATCTTGGCCAATAATTCTGTTTATTTAAAATAAATTCTATAGCTAAATGAAGCCTAAAGGGACGATGCTAACCGGGAGAAAAAAAATAACATGATTCAATAATCAGTCGACGCTAGGCAAGACTCGACCAATGAGATAAGACGAGTCTCCCTCGGAGGACACTCCGGAGTTTTAGGAAGGCAAGCGTTTTGGATTTGTTTCTCTACAGGAGGTGGGGTGATTTTAACATTATATACACTGGACAATGATTTTAATCCCATCCAGAGCTTCTATTTGGATAAATTGTCACAGCGACCCAATTACGATAAGGGTTAGTTCTTTGTATAATTTTGTATTTCAAAGTGGATCTCTGAGTTTTTTGCATGAATAACTTTGTTGATAAATTTGTTTTCATCAGTTCAGTGTGAAGTTTGATTTTTGTGCAAAAGACCTACAGGCCTATTTGGGCACCAATAAGACGGCAGAGACGCCATTGGGAGAGCAAGATCTCATCAAATGTGCTGCTGTAGTGTCAGCTACAGGTAGGTAGGGACCGGTGTTGTCTTTTGGCCGGTCGTGCAGAATGTCCACGTCTACTGCAGACAAGATTCTGGAACTTTATGACGGTTAAAATGCTGTTCGGAGCAGTTTACTTAAATTACCTCACTCTGTAATGGTACTACCATCCGAATGGGGCTTTAGTGTGAATGGAAGCAGAGGAGAGACAATGAGTTTCTAAACAACAACGCAAATGACTTTGGAAGTTTTAATAAGAGACTTGTTTCTGTGCGTGCACGCGGCCTCTCAAATCACACACACGCACACTCGCAGCATGGTGAGGATGAAGTCACTGTCCGCTCATGTGTCTCGTCCCTCTAGGCTTTAAAAGTGAGGGGCACTGCTGCTTCTGTCACCACCTTCCAAATGAAAACTCTCACACACACGCTCGGGCCATGTGACCATGTGGCCATGTCACTGCTGCTCCCAAAGGGAAACGCACTATAAAACACTCTCACAGCACTGACTTCACATCTAAAAAAAAAAAAAAAAAAAGAGTCTGTGAAACAACATATGGTTAAAAGTTTATACTTTATTCATAATTTTGTTAAAATTTACACAACCTGATATGAAAAAAACACCCAGATTGATATGTAAAACAGATGTCTTATAATAGTATAGATATAGAAAATAAAACTTTCAGGCCCTGAGTGACGCAATTCAGAGGGAGGAGACACAGATACACCTGTCAGGACAAACCTGGAGCACAGGAATCACGGAGAAGTGCGTTTCACCTCCACTGCTGCTCGTCTCCGTAGTCTCACAGCCGAGGCTTGATCTGCAGTTTTTTCTCTGCGAGGGGGAGGAAATGAAAAGAAGAGTACCGTCAGAAATGAAATGACAAAAAGACGAGGTGTGTGTGTCAGAGTGCTCACTCATGTGTATCTGACTCGGATCTTCTGCGTGTTGAATCCTGCTTAAAACCGCTGAGTGATGACATCCCAGCTGATGAGTAAATGAGGAAGAGAACAGGACAACGGGGATGGATGGAGGTGTCTCTACATGAAGTGTGTGTGTGTGTGTGTGTGTGTGTGTGTGTGTGTGTGTGTGTGAGGTCGCACTCTGGCAGTGATACATTGCGTCAGAGCTAAATTATGCAAAGCGTAGAGGAGCTTCTTTGGCGGAGTCCCACATTTAATGAGGCTCTGGGCGGTGCAGTGCGTTACTGAAGGACCGGAGCGCCATTAGTAATACTTAAAGGAGCACAGAGCAACCGGACAGGGCGGACGGAGGGACGGTGATATGACCATGTCAAATCAAAAGGAAACTCACGAGGACGCATGAAAACATCTCATATTATTAGAACTGTGGGCTGTGTTTGTGAGTGCAGAAGGTCAGAGGTCAAGATGACTCGGGTCAGGTCAGAGGTCCTGCTCCTTTCCAAGCAGAGGACACTAAAAATAAACCATGAAAGAGAACAAGGATTATCTAAACATAGAAAAGTAAGAGTGACCAAAACATCCCGAACAGATTTGTATTTTGAAAATATTACATTTTGTCTTTGTAATGTATTTGAAAGCTGATTAGCTTTGGGGAATCCTGGGTATGTTAAGTCAGTCATGTTGAGAACGTCCACTATGTGACGGGAGCAGCGCAGAGGCAGAGCAACAATCTACCCGAATCTCAATAACTAACTGCAGTTAAACTGTGTTTGATGATCCACGTCCAGCTTTCTCCACCAGAGGAGATGCTCTGTCGTCTCTCTCGGGACATTTTAAAAACCTCAGTTACTTAAGGACATTTCAATGAACTCGTCAGTTGAGTATCAGGGGAAACAAAACAAGAAGATGATGAAATTAATTGTTAAAAATCTGTCAAAAGAGAGAGAAATCTGAATAAAGTGAAAGGGATAATTTGTTGCTTTGCAATGCCAGCCGGCATGCATGTGCGTGTGAGTGTGTGTCCAGTGGGCAGGGGCAGGTGGATGGCTGGGCCTGGTGGGAGGAGGGTGGAGGGGGAAGGCAGCCTCTCTCCTAATCCTCTATCTGTCACGTCTGTCAACAGAGAGCTCAGCTGTGCCTCCGTCCAGCCCCAAAAGCTAAATATTATTACCTCTGTCCTCTGAGCATTATTACTCCTCCCCTGAGCATCATCACACTCTCAGGGCCCGGCTCTGATCATCATTATCTGTCTGCAGCTTAGACGAATCACCACTCCCCATTCTCATGAACCCGGGAATGATCCTGTGGCTTTCATGACAAACATGATCCTTCCACAAAAAACATCTCCGGACAATATGCCTGACAGTCAGCACTTTTACGCTCCGTATAAAAAACGCAGTTAGTCCTCTTAAGGAACATTACATTTTTCTTGACAACCTAGATGTATTTTGGGAAATTTGTCCCCATAATTCCTATCGATTAAAACATTTTGCTTGCCAAACCTGGAGATGTGGAGTCCCACAAGGAATGGCAGAATTGGCAGCTACCAGCTCATCAGACGAGGTGTAAACAAATCCCAAATTTACCAGATTATCTGAACGGCATATTTGGAAGTGAAGGTAGAATCGAATGCTTTCCTAATGTCAGTAATAATCCCCAATGCACAGAAAATAAATATGTGAACAACCGTGGTATGTACGGTTGGTTGAACTAGGAAGTCTGCAACATCTAATAGATGTTTACAGACTAAACGTTTGTAATCAGATAACTGTGACACGTGACGCTCTGTCTAGTTACCTTTAACCTGTGAGCTCTCGGCCGGCAGTGTTTCCGGTGCGTCCGCCTCCTCTGGCGAGCTGGAGAGGGAGATGAAGGACGGCAGCGCCAGAGAACCTTTGGTGGGAGTCCTTGGAGCTGCCTGAGAGCCCTGCGGCATGACGACAGACAGGCGGGGCCTTGACGAGAGAAAGAAGAAACAATAAGCCGGAGGTAGAAGAATATTACAAGTGAAAGTGAAATGATTAAGCACAATCTTGCTTCCCTGACCTCTTAGCGGGCTCCTTGGTTCGGGCCCTCTTGGCCGGGGTGGTGGAGGTGTTGCTGGCGATTCGTTTGGCCCGTTGGCGGTGCTGCAGCTTGCAGCGGGCCCCTCGAGGGCAGGATCCCGCCTTGGAGAAGTCTGGACACACCAGAGTGTGTTTCTTCTTACACTGGCGGTTGGGGACAGAGGAACACAGACACACAGGTTTTTACATGTAACGGCTAACACGGCGACATTTAGGAGTGGACGTCAGAGGCTGCTGAGTGCTGTGAGGCCATTTTACAGGACCAGGTAGAACCAACACAACAAAACAGTGTTCCCTCGTCATCATGGCTGTATTCAGATAGAAACAAATTCTAAATTGGTTCTATGACAACAAGGATGGAGTTTAGGGCATTTTACGTCCTCTAAAGTCACAGACGTAAACATGTTTAAACCTATATGGGATGCGTCTATAATGGCAAATGTTCCATTTTTTTATTCCCTCAAAGAGATGGGGGTTCTGTCTAGAGTAGCGCTCCAACCATCTCACCACACACACCACACCAGTTAAGCATTTCAAAAGGGAGAATATATCCTGATCACCGATATTTTGTTCCGTTATTCCATCCACTCTAGTTCTAAGTTACTACTTTTAAGAGACACTCTTTCCGTCCCCCACCCTCTCCGTTAACACGAAAGTTGAGCGTCATTCTGGGCAGCATTGTGCATGAGAGAGCCAGCTTTCGCATGCATGTTTGCAACTGAGTGTGTATGACAGCGTAATACGGGTGTAAATTGGTAGCTTCATTCTCCGCGAGATCCGATCCCTCCCACCTGTCAGAAAAGCTAATTATATTCACTCTGGGGTGCAGGCTGCAAGGAGTGTGTGTGTGTGTGTGTGTGTGTGTGTGTGTGTGTGTGTGTGTGTGGAGGGACTGGGGAGCAGATTGGTCCAGAAATAGAGTGTTTATCTGTGCGTGTGTGTGTGTGTGAGGGGGAGAGGGATCTTGAGATCGATTTTCCAAGAACACTATGGACCCTTGGTCAACTCTCTCTAGAGCCCGGCGGCCCTGACCCGCTGCCACCAAGAGCCCCTCTCCTCGAGCTCACACCCATGTTCCTGCACCCCTGGGTGCCAGGGGGGAGCTCGCTGTCAAATGTTTCTCTGGACCATCTTATAGGGCTGCGGTTGACACAACGTTTCGCTCAACAAATCAGATGTGTGGTGCTGGTCACGGTTTTATATTTGGTGTCTGACATCACTCCTGAACCGGTCAAATACACAGAGAAATACGCCAATATTTATGATTTATTGTTTTCATTGTGTTATATTGTTAATTGTAATGCAGGATTTTAGGGCTGCAACTTAATTTTTTTGCTTGTGACTCATCTCTCAATATCCTTTTTTCCACCACTTATTGGTTAGTGAAAGATGTCTATCATAATACACTCATGACTACCTCTGAACCTACTGCAATGCACGCGCAAACCAAGCACGCTTACTTCAGTGTTCAGAGCATTGATTTGTAGAAATGTAGTTCTGATCCAGAGACAAGTGTGACGGGACAACAGGAGTTAACGAAGCTGAAGCACTTTCAGTGTGAAAAACAGAGAGTGTATGAGAAAAGTACTGTAAAAAGCTCAGGCCACTCCCTTCAGCTCTATACGTCCTCATTTTCATAAGAAGACAGAGAGAGAGACAGAGAGAGAGTGTGTCGGAAATGGGAGGAAAAAGCTAAAGTGGACAGAACATCTTTATCCCACACCAAGTTAACAATTTTCCACTTGATTTAAGGAATGCTGGGACGTCTCTGGGGCCTATTAGAGAGCTCTCTGCTGGGCCAAAACCAGGAGGAGTCAGCACATTTACCAAGAGACAGAGAGAATGAGCAAAAGAAGCAAGAAAGAAAGAGTGAGCGAGAGGGGGGGGGTAGGAGATGGAAAAGACAGTAAAATATATAAAAGAGACATCATTTACCTCTTGGGCATTAAGCCGACACTCTCGTCATGAAGCAACTCACAGTGAGTGGAACAGAACAATACATGAGCTCAGAGTATTAACAGAGAGAGGGTCATGTTAAGAAAAAGTTCACACTGTCGCTAGATGACATTAGACCGACAGTAGCACTGCATCAAAAAAAAAAAAAAACGCCGCCTCCTCATTCATTTCAATGAGACCTCCTGTGTTGACCCAGTGAGGATGAACACCACAGATTGCTCCATTGAAAAGATGCAACATTGCCCAGCAACTTCTGCTGCAATGCAAAGCGACGTTATCAGGAAACTCACTATAAAAAGGCAAATCAAGCACGTGCAAGAAACACGTTCCAGGTAGATGATGTAACATGAACGACGAGATAAAGTAGTCCAGGTAGTGTAGCCCGGCCCGGGACATGTCGATCCAGTAAACAAATGTGATAGAAGGGCTGCTTTTCTGTCGACGCTAATGTCGGCACATGTCAACATGCTGCCTGTGTGTGTGTGTGTGTGTGTGTGTGTGTGTGTGTGTGTGTGTGTGTGTGTGTGTGTGTGTCTTTTTAGTTATGCAGGGTTTCAGAGCACAGGACGAAAAAAGTAAAGCTGAACTTAAACTCACGACAAAGAATGGAGCTAACACACTTTGTTTTGCATCTGCATGGCGGGAGTCGCTCTCAGAGTCGCACTCAGTAGTGCATGTGCATTTAGACAACTATTTGTTTGAACTGTCTGGTCATAGGTTTGGAATACGAATTGAGAATATATCTGTATACGACACTGTAAAGTTGAGGAGATAAATAAAGAGACACTACTTTAAAAGGGTGAAACCACGGATTCATTTGGCTAAACAGCCGATCAGATAGCTCTCTATTATCCACTGCCGCTGACAAGGTTTCAGGCTGAATCAGCCCAATGGCCATTGATAAGAGCCAATAAGAGACGACTATAGCCAACCGCGCAAAAGCTATGGATGACAGTGGGCCACAGATGGCTGACTGTTGGCCTATCGTGTCAGGAACCTGGGAGAGAATGGACGCGATACAGGAGCCACATTTGAGGTAATAAAACAAAAACAAAGGGGGAAATAATTAAAAACTGCAAAAAAATTGATTTTTGGAGAGTAAAGAAACGAGAGGGACAATTAGGAAGGCAGAGACGGATCCTGCGAGGTAGAGGGTGAGTGTGAGACAAAGCCGGGATGAGGCGGGAGGAGGATGGAGGCGAGGAGCAGACTTAACCCCTGAGCTGCTGGAGTGTCTGCCTGCCTGGCCCATAGTGCCATCCTCAGCAGTTTTCCCATCTATAATTACTGCCTGCTATCCATCATAGAGCCACCAGAGCCTCACAGCACCGTGCTCCATAAACACACACACACACACACACAAACACACACACGGGGGAAAATCACAGACCTAAGCACTTCAGCTAATAGAATAAATATTAATATCCCTTTTGTTTTCTATATCCTCATTTCCCCATGCACTATTTAAATGAGGTCTGACAGTGTGAAAAAGCATCTGTTTCACACTCGATGCTGGAAAACAAGCAGAGAAAGGAGGAGAGAGGAAGAGCGGGGGAGACAAAGGGAGGTAAATACGCAAGAGGGGGAAGGGGGTGAGGTTCTTATTTTTGAGGTGGAGTGTTTGTGTGTGTGTGTGCGTGTATGTGTGCGTGTGTGGGTGGGGTGGGGTGAGTCGTAATGTGTCACTCAGACACTACAGTTATGCCATTATGGACCACCACCCTCTGCAGCTGTTGCTGCCTGTGTGTCACTGTGTGCGTGTGTGTGCAGGGAAGATTGGTTGCCAAACTACTTGTTTACCTAAGCCCCAGTTTAACTTCAGCAGAACTGTATTCATGTTGTACAATATAATTATACGTTCAAATGAACAACCCAGCTTAGACAAAGACCTTTACGGTCAAGTGAGGCGTCAACGCAGCGCTCAGTTAAAATTGAACGAGATCAAACCAAGGAACACTGTTACTAGAGTCGAGACTGTAACATCCATTGTTTTAAGTATTCCTCTCCAGCCAGATTGACACAGTGATACAGGTGTTCACCATTTATCTGAGAGGGTCAACACACATCAGCTGACCAGTGTCCATGACCCCCAGTCTGACCCGGGCTGAACACTGGGCAGATGCTGCCTGGCTTTGGTGAACAGGTGACTGTACTTGGGCCAGACTGTCTCCTCGAAAAGAGAGAACGAGAGCGAGAGAGAAGGACCACACATGAGTTTTGTGTAAACTCTTGTGTTGACGTTGTTTTCTACAGCTGGGTAAAAAGAGTGCTGATACAGTACGGTCATAATGAGCGTGTTTGTGTGGTACCTTCTCTCCTTCAGGACAGTAGCCTTTGACAAAGTCCTCACACACTTCAGCTTTGCGGGACACGTAGACGTGACTGTAGGGACAGTCGCTGTTGTTACAGATTCCCTTCAGGAAGTAGGAACACACCGGCATCTAGAGAGAGAGAGAGAGAGACACACACATATGGCAGCCATCTGAAACAGGGACATTTTTCATAGCACTTGACAAAGACGGGGTAAAAACTAAATTTTACAATATGAAAATCTGAACAAAATAGAATCTAAATAGAATCTCCTTTTGTTAAGTCAGAATATAATGATTCCTCTGACTTGTGTTGGATGGGTTGAAGCTGCCCAAAACTTTGGGATTATTGGCAGAATTTCCAAAAGATACTGAATTGATCTTGGGTATCAATCCGACTCTGACTGAATCAAGCACTTTTGATTCTTGGCAGTCTTCCTGAAAACATATCCGACAATAAGTTGAGAGCTTCTGATAGCACAAAAAAGTCTGCTGGTTAAAACGGCAACCTCCAAATGCAGAAACAGTGAACTGGATTTAGGTCATTGAGAAGATGACACCGATACGTCACTTAAAAACAAGTAACAATGTATTTTCTACTTTATTTCTGTCCTCCATCAAGATCGTCTGCCCATGAGTAGACCAATAAATAAGATGACAGAAGAGTTTGTTAACAGACACGTGGTTCTAAACCCACTGTCATGTACAGTTCAGATTGTCCCGTGTGACGAGCAATCCGTCACACCGAGCAGTTAAATGACCTTAATTGCAGTTGACAGCGGCAGAGTGAGAGTGAATGTGCGTTTTGACAGCATGTGTGTGTGTGTGTGTGATCTACTGTTTGGTGTGTGTGTGCTTGGTGGATGCCGGTCTAAATATACTTCTGAGGGGGTTCTGTGAAGACAGAGGGGGGGAGGTTGGGGGGAGGCGGAGGGTGAGAGTGACTCCACTTTGTCGGGATGGGATCAGTTTGATCTAATTAACTGCTACAGAAATATTTATCCAGGCTGCAGCTCGTCCAGCTCTCATGATGTGTTCATGTGCCCTGGTGCACAGACCAGGCCAGCGGTGGAGGGACAGGGGAGAAGGGGGAGGGGTCAACCCCGCATACAGTCCTGTTTAAGGGGTCCACGTGAAATAAGAGCGGGAGTATCCTGTGGAGGGATGGGCCAAAGGTTTGGGGGTGAGGGGGGGGACTGTTGGAGAGGTGGCATTACAGACAGCTGGGCTCTCAGCACTTACAGGCAGCAGGGTGACAACCAACACAGGTGCAGGGCATTGTGTGTGTGTGGCAGAGCACCTGTTGTAGGGTTGTTTGTCTTAAGGGAAAGAAAGGAGAAAAACTAGAGCAGCTTTCCCTTTTTGAGTGGTTACACTTTACCTTAAACGGTCAAGAATACTCACTAAAACACACACAATGTGATACTAGTTAAAACAAGTAATACATCCAAATGATCAATTTCTATTTTGGGAGCCAAGACGCTACATGCAGGACCAATTCCTTTGAATCCGAAATTGTTTTATACTCCAGTTCAACTGTTTAATTAAGATTAATGAATTAAGAGCACTGGTGACTGGTCGGAGGAACTTGTGCTGATATTTATGCGATTGGTTGTTGATATATTCATACTATCGGTCTGAAATGAACTGGGTTGGCTTGAGATGAGTTTGTGCTGTGATAACTCCGTATTAAAAATCCTTCAGTGGAACCATATTGTCACAAAATAATATTAGTATAGAACATTAAACGAATGATTTCAGGAAATTGTACATTAAAACCAACAAATAAATAGATTTTGAATACACAAAAGGTGCGTGGTTCATTCAACTAGAATATGACTTCAGATGTACTGTTGCATACATTTGTCACAATGTGATTCGTTGATACTGAAATAATATACATCTGTATTATTATTTTTAGGGCTTCAACTAACAAATACTTTAATTATTCTTTAATGTGACTACTATTTTCTAGTCGTTAGTCGCTTGAAGGGTGAAACAAGCATTCAACATTTAATCAATTACCAAAATTGTTGTCCATTGCCTAAATATTACCATAATAATATCAACTAGTCCTAGACTGACTGAGTTGCTTTGAGCAGGATAAAGTGTGTAACCACCACTGAGGTGAGGATCTTGTTCCATGTGGCTGTGTGTGTAAACCAGAGGAAGACACCTGTGCTTAACACACACATTTGATGCTTGCTTTTTTTTTTTTTTTTTTTTTTTTTTTTTTTTTATACACACACAACCCACACACTCAGTCTACCACTAGTTGATATTATTATGGTAATATT